GGGGCCCCGAAGCGTGTGAGGGGTGTGCCACAATTTGGGCGATGGGTGCTTGCGAACGCTGGCAGTTGGATTTTCGGTGGGGCTCCGTATGGGGGCACGAAACGTGTGAGGGGCGTGCCAAAATGGGTGCGGTGGGCGCATGCGAACGCTGGCATTTGGGCCTTCGGTTGGGTTCCTTGTTGGACCCCGGAACGTGTGAGGGGCATGCCAGACTCGGTGCGGTGGGCGCATGCGAACGCTGGCATGTGGCCTTTCGGTAAGTCTCCATGTGGGGCTACGAAACTTGTAAAGGGTGTGCCAAAATGGGTGCGGTGGGCGCGTGCGAACGCTGGTATTACGGCCTTCGGTGGGATTCCCTATGGGGCCAACGAGGAGTGTGCCAGAATTGGTGAGGTGGGCGCATGCGAACGCTGGCATTTGGGCCTTCGGTGGGGCTCCCTATGGGGCCACGAAACGTGTGAGGGGTGTGCCAACAAGGGTGCGGTTGTCTCATGTTAATGCTGGTATTTGGGCCTTCGGTCGGGTCCCCTATGGGGCCACAAAAGGTGTGAATGGTTTGAATCTGGGTGCGGTGTGCGCATGCCAACGCTGGTACCTCGGGCTCCTAAGGAGAGGCCACGAAACATTCGCAAGTTGTGCTAACGGGCGCGGTGGGCGCATGCGAACGCTGGCATTTGTGCCTTTGGTGGGGCTCCCCGTGGAGCCATGAAACGTGTGAGGGGTGTGCCAAAATGGGTGCGGTGGGCGCATGCGAACGCGGGCATTTGGGTGTTCGGTGGGGCTCCCCATGGGGCCCCGAAGCGTGTGAGGGGTGTGCCAACATGGGTGCGGTGGGCGCATGCGAACGCTGGCATTTGGGCCTTCGGTGGGGCTCCCTATGGGGCCACGCAAGGTGTGAGGGGTTTGAATATGGGTGCGGTGGGCGCATGCGAACGCTGGTACTTGGGGCTCCTTAAGGGGCCACGAAACATTCGAACATTGTGCCAACATGGGCGCGGTGGGCGCATGCGAACGCTGGCATTTGGGCCTTCGGTGGGGTTCCTTGTGAGGCCAGGAGGCGCGTGAGGGTTGTGCCAAAATGGGTGTGGTGGGCGCGTGCGAACGTTGGCATTTTGGCCTTCGGTGGGGCTCCCTATGGGGCCACGAAGCGTGTGAGGGGTGTGCCAACATGGTCCGTCGACTGGTTCGGAAGGCAGAGGCAGGGATCGGAGGAGGAATGGGAGCGAGGAGGGGGCAGCGGGAAGAGGAGAAACGGGGGGCGCTGTCTCTTCAAAGCGAGGATCCAACACCACAGAACGGTTGGGACAAAAAAGCGCCTTGCAGTCTTCTCGCATAAACATCACTTCCAGACTGACAGTGCGTTTTTGTGTTACAGTAAGTTTAGTCATGTGGTTGGTCTTTACTAGGTGTCACGTGCTACACTGCTGTAGCTACGTAGTTGTATTACTGTTGGGTCGATGCTTTAATTTTAAACTACAGGCAAGTTGCATAGTTGAGTGTTCAAGCGCCGACTCTATAATCACAAAGTGGACCCTTTTTCGCAGACTAGAGACCAGGCTTTCTTTCTGTTCATTACAACGGGTTAGCTAATTTATGCAACATTGCAACTGTTGAATTCAATACTGGATGGTTAGCTGTCATCTTGCTTTCGGCCTACAACATGGGCCACCATCCGAAGTTGGCTGAAATGTACTTGGGGAGGTCAGATGTGAGAGTATCGAGCCTTAAAGGTACAGAGCTGATTTCTTCTTCGCAGTTTCATAGTCAATCGCCACATCTTGTAGAACAACAAAAGACCCGAGCTAGGTCTGCAGTGATTTCTAAGGGTCGGTCTATTCCAATGCTTGAACCTCGTTTGCATTGGCGTGTTTCTCTCTGATCTCGAACTCACTTTGATGTGCTTTGATCTTCGTTGTGGTGCTTGTATCGCGAATTCACCTTGATCTCGAGCTGCACAATCCCGCGAGCTAGAGGAACCACTGCGACGGGCCCCACAAAAACAGTCGGGTCCTGGGAGGGGACTTTCAGCAGCTCAAGTCCGAGGTGCCATGGAGCGAGAGCGTGCGAGTGTCGCACGCCGCGCTGGTGCTCCCCGCGGCGGACATGGAACGTGTCGCAGTGGCACGGCCCGTCGCCCCCTGGACTGCCCCGCCGTGTCGGCGGATCTTCGAGAAGCGGGCCCCTTGGACCTGTCCTGTGGCGCTTGCTGGCCAGACGCTCGAGACCGGCCCAACCGTGTGCGCGGGGGAGGCACAGGAGAGGTTCCATGACAAAGGACGGCAAGAAAAACCTCGAGCCGCGAGCTTCGTGGCCGCAGAGTACCTCTGTCCCCCTCCCCGTCGTCGTCGTCGTCGTCCTCCTCCTCCCTCTCTTGGCGTTGCATCTCCCCACAGAGTCAGGGCAGCCTTCGTGTTTCCATTGTGTGCCCAAGCGCCGTGCCACGGGCTGGCACATGGCGGCTGTATCGTACTGTACCTCGAGCCTTTGCCCCTCCCCCCGCCCGAAACATGCACGAGTGGGAGGCGGCCTTCCTGTGAGCACCAGCCAGCTCATGATGTTCGGCTCCGTTGTTGGAGCTCCTGGGTGGATCTGTCCACCTTTGGCTGCTGTTCATCGAGCGTGCCCCACTGCCATGAGGGAAGGGGGTTCGGAGGGAAACGCTTCCTGGGCCGTGGGGTCTCCCCAATTCCAGATCTTCATTCGGAATAGCTCCCCTGTTAGGCTTTACGTAGGGGCTCTGATTTGCTTGAAAGGGACTTGTGGGTGCGGTCGGCGGTTGTCGCGGCCCTCTCTGGGGTTCCCGGGTTTTGTTTCTTGACAAGAGCGTTCGTTCCTCGGGGGTTCACTTGGTTCTGTTTCCTAACACGGGCCTTGGGTTCCGCTGTCCTGTTCGTGGCCTTCCTTCCTCGGGTTCCATGGTCTTGCTCCTCGGGTTTGCTGGTCTTGCTTCTTGCTTGGGATCCCGGGTTCCTTTGGTCTCGTTTTTTTTGCCTGGGTTCCTTGGGTTTCCTGGTCTTGTTCCTCGGGTCCCTGGTTTCTGCAGCCTGGTTCTTTGCTTGGGTTCTTCGGGTTGTCTTCTTAGTTCACAGGTTCCTCCGCATTGCGCAGCCATGCCACTCAATGCCACGCAATGCCACGCAAAACCAAACCATGCCAAGCAATGCCAAGCAACGCCAGGCAATGTAGAGTAATGCCAATCCATGCCAAGCAATTCCATGCAATGCCCAGCCAGCAGTGCCAATCAATGCCAAACACTGCGCTCATGCAAAAGGGAAGCTTTCCCCTATCGGGGGTTTCGTTAAAACATGCCCACATGGGGGCTCGAATACGCCAGAAACCTTTCAGGACCCCGATGGTGTGCTTGGTGCTGTTTCCTCACTGCGCGGGGCGCGAGGCACGTGAGCATCCTTGGATGAGCGCCCTTCCATTGCCTGCTTTTGTCAGCGTCGGGTTCGAGTTTTAGTCGCTCGTGGGACTGCAAAGGAATAGTCGTTTCAGGACACGTCTCTTTCGTGCCCAGCATTTCCAGAGCGACTGGATGAGTCCGCCATTGCAGCCCCTGCTCCACCAACAAAACAAGCGACATCACCCCACCCACGGCCCTCCATGTTGCGCTGCGGCCCATCGGCCGCCGTAGCGCATACCGCGCAAAAACCCACGCCAGATTTCCTGGCATTCAGTCGGTGTTAAAATTAGTACGTCGACCCTGCCAAGTCCACGGTGCTCCTGTTTTTCCTGTCTGTGGAGATTCCGTGCCCCTTACCTTCCTATGGCACTGTAGCCCTCGGACGGGTCTTGCGTCCTCTCGCTGGTCTTCTCCGATCGAGCCCGACTGTGCCGTTTGTTTTCTGGTCCACCTGCGGCACTGACCACGATGAGATTTCGAGAACACGCACTAAGCGCTGCGGCGCTACACGCCCATCCCCGTAGTTGGGACAGCTCTCGCTGTAGTGGCGTTCGTTCGTTCGTTCGTTCGTTCGTTCGTTCGTCCACCTGCGGCATCGGCTCGCAGGGAGTGCTGCCCGCCGGGCGTGCCGCGACATTCACGGTCTCGAGAGGGAGGGCGCCCCCGGCCTCCGCGGGCGCACGCGCGGCCCCCGGCGCCCATTCGGGTCGGACGACAGTGGGACAAAGAGCCCCCCCATTCTCCTCGTCTTCCTCCTCCTTCTCCTCCTCCTCCTCCCCTTCCTCCTCCTCCTCCTCCTCCTCCTCCTCCTGCTCCTCCTCCTCCTCCTCCTCCTCCCGCTCCTCCTCCTCCTCCCTGATCCTCCCTCCTCCTCGTCCTCCTCCCTCCCTCCTCCTTCTCCTCCTCTTCGTCGTCGTCCTCCTCTTTCTCCTCCTTCTCCATTACTGTTCCTTATCAAGCATTTCTCCTTGTCGCACCCCGGGGCTAGTTTTTAGGGCGCGCCGGGCGTTTCGCGTGAGACTTCTTCACCACGTCTGACCCTGAAACTTGAATATTGACAGCAGGTTCACACATGGGAGGCGGATGGTTTTCAATATGTGGCTCTCGCCTCAGCGCCGCGCACATTCGTTTGGAATATCTCCCAGAGTTTCGCGGATTGAGGGCGCGTCGTTCTCAACGTGTTGTTGTCGGCTTAGCGCCGCGCGCATTCGAATTCAGCATTCTGTAGGGTTCCACGAGATGCGAGCCGAGATTCTGTGGATTGAATCTGTTTGGCTCAAGACAAGGAATCTAGGGGCTTCGCCATTCCGCATGGTAGTGGAGCCTGGTTGTGCCCACGGCCAGGCTCCAGATTTCTCGATCAGAAATGTCTTCCGCGGGGTCGGTTTGCATCGTGTTGTGGCCATGGAGAGCGTCGTGGTCAGACAGCGTGAGCAGATCACGGAGCTCGAGAGGCAGGCCCAGCAGGCCAACGCTCGGGCAACAGCAGGAGCAGCTGGAGTCGCAGGACATGACGAGTATCGAACAGGACCTGTTCATCGTCCAGAACCGTTGGTGGACGCCAAGCTGCTCGGGAACCCTGACAAGTTCTAAGGCGAGCTGGACGACAACGCGAAGTACAAGGATGGGATTGCCTGGGGGAACTGGAGTTTTGTTTTGGCGGCTTACTGCATGGCGGTGGACCCGCATACGGCAGAGCTAATGAGGGACGCAGCTAAGGTGGGCGCTGAGGCCCACGGGCACGAATATGACGAAGAGGCCCAGCGGGTGAACACCAACCTTTATTACATCCTGGTGCTGACATGCGAGGACAAGGCCCAGGACATCGTGAAGAGCGTTCCTTGAGGAGAAGGTTTGGAAGCATGGCGACTAGTCTGTGTGGAGTTCGAGCCGAAGGTGCAGTCGCGATTCTCGGAGATGCTGGACTCTATCTTGTATCCACATGTGCAGGATAACGACCCGATCGGGGGTAGTGCGTCCCGGGGCACGCTGGTGCAGCGGTACGAGGAGCAGACGGGCGAGAAGGTCATGGAGTCAACCGAGAAGTCCGTTCTGAGCGCGAGCCGACGAGCCCAGGGAGCACCTCTTGCAGAACGCGACGAGGTCAACGACGTATGCGCTGGTCAGAGCAGAGGTTCTTAACTACTTGAGGTCAGAGCAGGCGGCGATGGCACTGAGCGGCCCTATGCGGACGCGTTTGGAATTGGCAGACAGGGGGTGGGTGGCAAAGGCGATTGCAGGCAAGGGGTATGCGACAACGAGGGTACAAGCCAGCCATGCAAGGGCTGTGGCAAGAAGGGGCACGAGCTGATGGAGCGCAGGAAAGCCACGCAATACATAAGGGGCGGTGAAGTTTCGGAGGTTGAGATGCGCAAAGTGAGCAAGGGCAAAGGCAAGGGCGGACAAAGGGCAATAATGACAAGCCGCAGGCACCGCCAGCCCCAGACATAATCAAGGACCAGGACATGAGGTACATTGGGTACGGCTACGCCGCCGAGCAGGGCAACGTTTTCTGTATCGCAGATTCTGAGGGTGACAAGCTGACTGACCAGTATATCACACAGATTGTGAGGATTACAGGATGACTGATCAGCCTATCACAGAATGTGAGGATGAGGGGCCCGGTGGCATTAAGATGGAGAAGGACGAAGACTACCTGCTTCCGATGGGAGACCTCGAGAGCGAGGGTGACGGGATTATCGAGATCGTTGTCGATTCGCGCGCAGCCAGAAGCGTCTGCCTATCACGTTTCGAGCTGCGAATGCCGCGAGAAGCCGATGCGCCGCCGCTGCGGCGAGCATGCGGTTCCAAGATATACGCGGACCAATGCAAGACGGTACGCGTGGAGGTTGTGGGGGCCGGGCGATCGACGCGAGGACAGTTTGATGTGCACGACATTCGCGAGACGACCGTTGCGGCCAGCGGTTTGACGACGGGATGTCAAAGCGTGTGGTTCGATGGGTATGGCGGAGCAGTGGTCAGCCCGCCAGTTAGCCATGCTATCAAGAAGATGATCGAGATGGGGGCGCCCAACATAGCGGCGAAGAAGCCATGCGAGATAGCCAGGATATGCGGGATCTACAGTTTCGACGTGGGCGCCCGCGCGCGATGCCCGCTGGGAGGAGTTGAAGCAGAAGAAGAATCGCCCCAAGCGGTCGAGAGTGAAGAGGCCCAGCTCCCGAAGATCACGAAGGCGATTTGTGGGCTGACGGCGAAGGGGATTGCCGTGCGCGCCAGGGGGCGCACGCCGTTCAGAGACTGGTGCAAGTGGTGTCAGCTGGGGCGTGGCAAGGAGGATGCTCGCGAGAAGACTGATCCTGAGGAGACATCGCCTATGCCAGTCACCAGCGTGGACTACTGCTTCGTGAACACCAAGCTGGAGACAGAGATGGTCAGTATCCTGGTGATGGTTCAGAAGCGTGAGGACGCCGAGGCATCGATCGCGGTGATGCAACAAGGGCCCAGCGAGTGCGTCAATTTGGCGGTGGAGTTCTTCCTTGAAGCATGGGGAGCTGCGGACTTCTGCTGAAGGGCGACCTGGGGCCATCACTTCAGGCCGTCACCACAGTGGTGAAGAACAGGAGGAAGCGCAGCGCGCAGGTCGAGAAGGTATCTAAATAATCTAACCCGGGCAATGGAGCGATCGAGGCTGTGGTGGGGCGAGTGGAGTCTCTACTGCGTGCGTCCCAGTAGCTTGATCATGCCGTGCTTGGTCAGGCATATGGGGTATCTGCTCGCCAGGTTAGCGATCAAGACGGATGGCAGGACAGCCTGGGGGCGGCTGGGGCGAGCTAAGTACAAGTCGGAGCTGGGCACTATCGGGGGAATGACCGACTACGAGATCCATGTGGATGACTATTCCAAGCTTGACCCAGGGTGGGGCGACGGTATCTTCCTTGGCTGGCGGGGCGAGAGCGACGATCTTACGTGGGGGCTGCGCGTGGGGTTGAGCGTCCCAGGGCGATGGGGTTGAGGGGCGCCGAGAGCAAGTGCAACGTGGCGGTCTACAACGCTTTCATTGGCGTGCCGTGGAATCCCAGAGGACTGGATGTGAAGGGCCAGAACGAAGTCGCACGACGGGGGCGGTGCATCCCGAAGGTTTTGATCGAAGAACATGGGCCGACAGATGGATGTGCGGCTTGTGAAGGGGACTCGGCAATATAACGTGAGGTGCAGGGTGAGGTTTGCGATGACCTTCGGCAAAACCGAGCCGAGGGCCGAGGTGGCAGTTCCAGCGGGCCCTGCTCAACCCGATGGGGGTCGCGGCGCAATCGGATGGGCGCGCAGCAGCGCCGCCGGCAGCAGGAGATTGAGTCCACGAGCCGCGAATGGCGGAAGGAAGACAGCGATCACCAGGCACGCCCGTAAGACAGCGCTTCGGACCAGGAGCATCCAGAGATCAGGATGTGGAGATGACAGGCAACGCGATAGTAGCGGGTGGAGACGTGGCCCCGTTGACACCAGAAACGGGCGAGGTGATGGAGGTCAGCATCCCCCTGGCGATCGCAAAGGATGAGGGCCGACATGTATGCCGAGAGGTTGAGCCGAGGGTGATTTACGACAAGCTGGCGGGAGACGGAGTCCGCAGGGGCGCGTATGCTGGAGAAGAATTGCCGAAGGACTCGGTGACCGCGGGCAGAATCAAACTTGATGCAGAGTATGGAGGAGTTGACGTCTTCGAGCGGGTGCCGTTTGAGGACTGGATGTAGCTTTTCGGCGCCAAGTGGGTCGATGGCAAGAAGTGTGATATGCGCAACAACGAGTGGATCGTGAGGAGCCGTTGTGTTCACATGAGGCTTTGCGATGGAACACACCCTTCGAATTTTACAGGGACACCGGCATGGCGGGCAGTTAAGTTGGTGGTATCACGGGCAGCTTCGACGAGACCGAAGCAGGAGAGGAGGGAGAAGCCTGGGCTCTACGACATCTCAGGGGCGTTCTTGCATGCGTCGTTGAAGGAGCCCCAGTTCTGTTGGCCACCACCAGAACCAAGACGACTAGAAAGGCTCTGGAAGCTGCAGAAGGTGCTGCAGGGCGCACCTGAGACATCTATGCTGTTCCAGGTCGAAGTTTTTAGACAACTTCGGCCATGATGGTAACCAGGAGTTTAAGGCGGTTTGCTGCCTGTACTACAATCCAGGTATTGACTCGCTCTGTGCAGGACATGGGTGATTTCCATGTGGAAGCGTGCGATGATGAGCTGGGTGCTCGTGACGATGTCATGGCGGGTCGTTTCAAGGTCAAACCTCAGCCTCGAATGGGGTCAGGTGGAGCAGCCGAGTGGGCCCTTCTCAACGGGGCGGCTCCTTGGGGCGAGGATGGCTTCAGCGTTCCACCAGACCCGAAGCTGATCTTGAAGATGGTGTAATTGTTTGGTTTCAGGCAGGCCAAGCCGGCCGAGACAGCGCCGAGCTGGAGACCGACGGGGTATTCAGGAAGCAGTTCGAGAGCAAAGCTGTTCGTATAACGACCCACGGGTGAAGCACATCCTGAAGCAGAAGCGCTTGGTCAGGCACGCGACGGAGGCGACGTGTAAGAGCTTTTCATCAGGGGGCATGCGCCTGGGAGTTCATTCACTGGAGAGTTGGGTTCTATCGCAAGCGGCGGTTGCATTATCGAGTGGAGAGTCGGAGTTCCATGCAGTGGGGTCAGGCACGGCCAGGGACTCACCATCAAGCGCGTGTTGCAGGATATTGTTGATATGTGGAGCGAACAGATCAAGACCGCCCGGGAGATGGAGGCTGACTCAGCAGCGGCGAAGGGTATAATTCACAGACGCGGAGTCGGGCGAGTACGGCATTTACAGACAATGTGGATCGTGCATCAAGTTTTAGTTCGGGATGGCGACATGGAGGTGGTGAAGGTGAAGTCGAAGGATCAGGTGGCGGGTACAAACACCCAACCGGTGGACAAGGGTGCGCTCGAGAGGCACAGGAATACGTCGGGGCTGATCCCGATGGCGATGACTAGCTTTAATCAACCAGAGGTGTTGACGAAGGTGCTGGCGGTCATGTTGGCGCTCCCCATGACCGAGCCGACGAAGATGTACTCCTAAGACGGCGTTGAATTCAAGGTTAGTGTGACGACTGACTTCAGTTGGGAGAGTTGCCTGACGCACCTGGTGGTCATGGTAATGTCAGTGGCGTGCAGCTACCGCGTGTTCGTGGTGAAGGGCGAAGAAGTTGTGGGCGCGGTTATGAGGGCAGGGATGTGGGGCGCGCCATTTCGACCAGTGCGTGGCGATGCAGGTTGTGGATCATATTCGCAGGGCCCGAGGTTCCGTTGCGTGACGGATCCTCAGGGCCCGAGGGGCGATCGCCAGGACAGAGGTTGCGGTTCGAAGGGCGTGCGGGACAGATCGCATTCGAGGAGGTGACGCAGGCATGATTCACCAGAGTCGGAGGTGCAGCGCACCAAGGAGATTGGGTCCGTTGCGGCGCAGGGGCCATTGACGTGCAAGAGCAGTGGCGAGCAACATCCTGCAGGCGACGGGCGTTATGCGCCGCTAAGTGCCAAGGAGTGGGGAGCTTGGCGTTGAACATGTCGTGCGCGTCCTGGGCAGCCAGTTCGAGATGCCGTTTGTGTTGAGCGATGCTGGCTTGTTCGGAAGTGTACGACGGAGTCTGATCAGCTCCCGAGGTCGTTTCGCGAATGAGGGATGATGCGAATGCGAGAGATGGGCCCGATACTGTACGTGAATGAGAGGTTGCATTTGCCATGTCTGTTTCTGTTTAATTGACGGAGCCGATTGGGTTTCGGCGGGGTACTGTGTAATTTGAGCTGGCTGGACTGACGAGTCCGCTAGCATGCGCAGCGGTCCCGAGGAGGGGTGCAGGGTTTCACGAGATGCGAGCCGAGATTCTGTGGACCGAAATTGTTTGGCTCAAGAAATGGAACCTAGGGGCTTCGCCATTTAGCACGTGTCCCCGATTTTCACGGATTGAGGGCGGACCGTTTGCAAAATGTGGCTCTCGCCTGAACGCCGCGCATTTTTTCTTTTCTTCTGTGTCTATGGTATACTTATATATAGTATTCAAGTAGGTTTGCCCTATAAGAGTTCAATCTAAAACGCTACTAATTGGTCCGTTGCCCCCTACATCCGATGCCCCTCCCCTAATTTCTATGGGTATGCCCATGCCTGGCCGCCTCTTCTTGCACGAGCAGCCAGCATCATCGAGGAGTTGGAGTCTCTGGATGATCCGTGAGATCGCCGAGATGCCAGGAGTACACTAAGTTGAGTGCGATCAATGTGCGTATGGGTTGTGGTGCACTGATGCCATCGGCCCGGCGCCGGTCAAGAAGCCTACGGGGTGGTTGGCCAATTCTGCCGAGATAGCCCGGGAGCTGACGCGTCGGTGTCCTGGGTGTGCTAGGCATTGCCAGACGGTCGGTCTAGGTCGGCGTGGCATGCGCATCATCGAGCGGTGCCCGCCGAAGCTTGTGGCTGCGGTGCTGCGTGGGCTGCGTCGTGAGGCGATCGCTCGCGGCCAGCTGGGTGCGCTGGAGGCTGGGCCGCACCTGGACGAGCAGTCGGTCTTGGACGCCTACCCAGAGTACTACACGGATATCGTCGACAACATCAGCGGGGCCGCCCTGGACCCCGAGCTCGTGGCAGCTGGCCGCGCGGAGGAGATGGAGTGTGCACGGCACCAAGCAGCGCTGCCGCGAGGAGACCGGGCGCGACCCGGTGCCCATTATGTGGGTGGACGTCAACAAGGGTGACGACCGCAAGCCCAACATCCGCTGCAGGCTGTGCGTGGCGGAGACGCGCTACCGCGCGAGCATGGACCTGGGGGCCCCTCGCAGACGTTCAGTGCGACACCCCCGTATGAGGCTCTCAGGATGCTGATTTCCTTCTGCTGCTCGCCCAGGAACGCCGAGGAGGACCAGCACGTCCTCATGTTCCTGGTCATCACGAGGGCTCACCCGCACTGCGAGATGAAGCGGAAGTGGTGGGTGAAGCTGCCGTCGGAGGACCCCCGCTCAGCTGGCCCCAACGTGTGCGGGCTGCTGGTCAGGTGCCTCTACGGCTGCCGCGACGCAGGCCGGAACTTCGAGCTGCTGGTCCGTGAGACGCTGGAGGGCAAGATGGGCTTCTCCTGTGGCGTGTGGTGCCCCTGCATATACCGCAGAGGCGACGGCAAGCTCGTGGCCTACGTCTACGGCGACAACTTCGCACTGAAGGGCTCCCGCACCGACAACCTGGAGTTCTACCGCGAGCTGCAGAAGTACATGTGGGTCAAGCTCGAGGGCATGTTGGGGCCCAACAAGAGTGCTGGTGATGTTCAGGAGGTGGTCTGCCTGAACCGCGTCTTCCGTTGGACTTCGAGAGGTGGCGTGGAGCTCGAGGCGGACTCTCGCCATGCGCTCATCATGATGCAGCAGCTGAACCTCTGGCGTGGGTCGAATGCCCTCTCGACGCCAGTAGTGAAGGCCAAGAGCGTGGACCGCGGCAGAGTCCTGGAGGGCGAGGGGGCGACTCGCTACCGCAGCCTGGTCATGCGATCCAGCTATCTCAGCGAGGACCGCCCGGACATCAAGTACGCAGTCAAAGAAGCAGCGAAGTGCATGCGCGAGCCGTGCGAGCACGACATGGAGCTAGTCAAGAGGATTGCCAGTATCTCCTGGGCCGTCCGAGACTGGTTCAGAGGTTCCGACGCCAGCGCTGGTCAGGTGTGCTCAAGGGCTTCTCGGACAGTGACTTCGCGGGCTGCCTGGGGACCAGGAAGAGCACGAGCTGCGGAGTCTTCCAGGTGGGAGATCACATGATCAAAGTCTTCAGCGCGATTCAGGGGAGTGAAGCTCTCAGCTCAGGTGAGGCCGAGTGGTATGCTCTAGTGCGCGCTGCGTCCTGTGGGATCGGCCTGGTCTCGCTGGCGCGTGACATGGGATACGAGCTGGAGTTGTGTTTGGCTGGCGACGCTACGGCGGCCAGTGGGATCGCGCATCGCCGAGGGGCGGGGCGCATCCGACACATCGAGACAAAGACCCTGTGGCTCCAGCGCCATGTGACCGAGTGTCGTGTCATCCTTTCTAAGACGCTCGGCCAGGTCAATGTGGCAGATCTCGGCACGAAGCATCTGGCGCAAAAGGAGCTGGATGAGATGCTGGGACTGCTGGGATTTTTCGTTGCTGCGGGCAAGTCTGACCTCTCTCTCGCTGTCGCAGGCAACTTGCTTGAGCCGGACCTAGCTTGCGAGCCCGAGGGCAAATATGAGGTACAGGCATGACTTTGGTCGGAGGTCGTCCGTGTCATGGCGACTGTTTTCGTGTGTGCAGGCATGCTTTCTATGAGGTTGCATGTGGCGAGGCGTGCGTGCGTGTTTTCTTTTCAGCTCCGCTGGAGCAGCCCGGATATCGCCTGGGTCGAGACTCGAGGAAGCTCGACGCGGCGGCGAGGAGGGCTCATCGGGTAGCTCTCGGATATGCATGCCGTGACGTTTATTGTTACCATTGCCATATCTTACTCAAGCTGAGATGCGGACATACCGTATATCAGCTTCAGGGTCTTCAAGATATTATTTTCCAGCGAGGCACTTTCCTCAGAGGGAATGACCTGTTGTAGGGGCCTATGAAGAGGGAGTTTGGAGGGAGGGTTTATTCCAAAATCGTTGATGACTCTTGGGTTTCCACTGGTCCTCCTCCTCCTCCTCCTCCTGCTCCTCCTCCTCCTCCTCCTCCTCCCACTTCTTGCCCTCCTCCCTCCTCCTCGTCCCTCCTCTTCCTCTCTCCTCCTCCTCCTTCTTCTCCTTCTCCTCCTCCTCCTCCTCCGTCTCCTCCTCCTGCCTCCTCCTCGTCCCTCCTCCTCTTCCTCCTCTCCCTCCTCCTCCTCATCCTGGGGGGGTACGAGACTGCACGCAGCTGTCCTTGTTCCCGCCGCTCGACGCCCTCTCGTCAGGACGCCTTGGCGCCCTACGCCAGGGAGACCAGCCGCGTGAGCTGATCGACCAAGGCCCCCGACTCTTCAGGGCCAGCTTCGCCCCGATCGATCCGACTTGATCCATTGCGATCTCGTGCGCGATTCACACTCCGAGTCGATCTGATTTCCCGATTCGGTCCCAGAACCTCGACGTCGAGATTTTTTCACAACGTCGACCCCAGACGTCTGGACCCAATCCCCGCTGGACCCATTCCCCGGGACCAGCTCTTCATCCCGAGTCGTTTTTGGACGGTCCCGAGGCTTGGTCAGGGCCCCCAGAGGCCGAACATGGCGGACAATCTTCTGCCGTGATCTTTTTCACGACGCGAGGTTGGCTTTGGGAGTCGTTCTCAGTTCCCGATTCAGTGTGCGGACTGATCCTGCCCTCCTCCTCTGAGTGAGCCCCACCGCTCGCAGAGTGCCTGCTCGCAGACGTCCAACAAACACGTGCAGGCCTCGGTGTAATTCGGGGGCCACATGCGAACCCTACCCCTACCCCCCACGATTTCTGAGGGGGAGGGTGGGGTTCACTTCGCTCGGGAGCTCCCGAGCGAAGTGAACCCCACCCCCCCCCTCAGAAATCGTAGGCGGTAGGGGTAGGGTTCGCATCTGGTCTCCTGGTAGTGGATCGTACCAATCTCCCGCGGCGGACCGGGGCCGTCTGCGAGCAGCTGCTCTGCGAGCAGTGGGGCGCGCTCGTCTGCCTCCGCTGGCCCCTCTCTCGGCCGACCCGAGCCCTCACAGGGGGGGGGTGGCCCCCAGTCTCCGGCCGTTTCGGCCGGCGCCGCCGCCATGGCGCGGCCCCCAGTGCCGCGCGTGCAGCCGCGCGCGGGGGGCGCGCCGACGCGCGCCGGGGGGGGGCGTGATCGCCATCGCGCACCTCTGCGGGGGGTGGCGGATCGGGGGAGGAGGGTTAGGGCAGGAAAAGCTGGTGACGATTTCCCTGCTCTGGTGGCTATTTCTGATTTTCTTTTCGTCTTCCTTATCATATTTACCTAACACTGATAGGTTTCTAGTGGGGTCAAAAGAGAGCATCATGACTCCTCAGGGGGGTCGGGGCGGGACCCGGGGCGGGACCCGGCGCGGCTGCCGTCGAAGCCCAAATCGCTTCGGAAATCCTCGCAAAATCGCTCTGGGCGCTGCTAGAACTCCATTCCCGGCGTACATTTTGGATGCCCGGAGCCAACTGTAGGCCACTTCGTGGTCTTCGAGTTCCCAGAACTCCATTCCCGGCGTACATTTTGGATGCCCGGAGCCAACTGTAGGCCACTTCGTGGTCTTCGAGTTCCCAGAACTCCATTCCCGGTCCACATTTTGGATGCCCGGAGCCAACTGTAGGCCACTTCGTGCTCTTTGAGTTCCCAGAACTCCATTCCCGGGCCACATTTTGAATGCCCGGAGCCAACTGTAGGCCACTTCGTGCTCTTCAAGTTCCCAGAACTCCATTCCTGGGCATGATTTTGAATGCCCGGAGCCAACTGTAGGCCACCTCGTGTTCTTCTAGTTCCCAGAACTCCATTCCTGGGCCATTTTGAATGCTGCAGGCTGCTGCGGCCGAGGCAGCTGAGGCTGAGGCAGGCTGAGGCTGAGGAGGCTGAAGGCAGACTGAGGCTGAGGCTGAAGCAGACTGAGGCTGAGGCTGAGGCAGGCTGAGGCTGAGGCTGAGGCAGGCTGATGCTGAGGCAGGCTGAGGCTGAGGCTGAGGCTGATGCAGGCTGAGGCTGAGGCAGGCTGAGGCTGAGGCCGAGGCTGAAGGCAGACTGAGGCTGAGGCTGAAGCAGGCTGAGGCTGAGGCTGAGGCAGGCTGAGGCTGAGGCTGAGGCAGGCTGAGGCTGAGGCTGAGGCAGGCTGAGGCTGAGGCTGTGACTGCGACTGCCGTTGCCACTGCGACTGTCATCGCGAATGCGACTACGACTGCGAGAACAGCAGAATTCTTCTCATCTGAATCTGAAGGGGAATGCTTCCAGATATGCTCCTACAAATCGCTGTTAGGTTGCTTTGCCGGGATAATTTTCATCCAAAGTCCGCCTGTAGGAGGAGGACACGTCCGACCCAGCGCCCCGGCCCTCGTTGTCCCCTCTCGGGGGCTCCTGGGGGCCCGCCGTCGCCACCGCTGGGTTCGCCCCGAGAGTGTGGTTGGGACGCGCCCCGGGAGAGGTCCTGGGGAGTGGATCGGCACCCTCTGGTTTCCCCAGGTCGGGGCCTCGAGGCTCGGCGGGAGATACGGGTCCCCGAGGGTTCGGGCCGCAAGGATCGGGGCCTCGAGGCGTGGGGGAGGCTCTGCCTCCTCCCGGGTCGCGCTCCGCCTCCGTGGGGTCGGAGCTTCGTGCCGCATGGGCGATGCATCGGCGATGCGGCTGGATTCCCAGACCCCCGACGTCATGATTTTGTTACAACGTCGGCTCCAAGAGGTCTCGGGCCTCCCCCAGGACCAGCTTTTCGTCCCGAGTCGTTTTGTGACGGCCCCGAGGCCCATTGAGGGCCCCTGGATGCAGATTTTCCGGCCCCGGGACCCGGGACCCGCGACCCGGGACCGGCGCGGGACCCGAGACCCGGGACCGGCGCGGGACCCGGGACCCGGCACCCAGGATCGTCCCGGGACCCGACCGGCGCGAGACCCGGGACTCGCGACCCGGGACCGGAACGGAACCCAGGACCCGGCCGGGACGATCGCCAGACCCGGGACCCGGGACGGGCGCAGGACCTGGGACCCGGAACCGGCGCGAGCCCCAGGACCCGGCACCGGCGCGGGACCCGCTCGCCGGCGAGGGGGGGGGATTCACGCGAGCTGACGCGGGCTGACGTTTTTCCGGCCCCGGGACCCGGGACCCGCGACCCGGGACCGGCGCGGGACCCGAGACCTGGGACCGGCGCGGGACCCGGGACCTGCCACGGCACCCGGGATCGTCTTGGGACCCGACCGGCGCAGACCCGGGACCTGCGACCCTGGACCGGAGCGGAACCCGGGACCCGGCCAAGACGACCGCCGTGGGACCCGGGACCCGGGACGGGCGCAGGACCCGGGACCCGGAACCGGCGCGAGCCCGGCGCGGAACCCCGGATTTGGAACGAGCGCGGACCCGGGACCCGGGACGAGCGCGGCACCCGAACCCGGGACCGGCACGAGACCCGGGACCAGCGCGGGACCCGGGACCCAGACCTGGGAGTGGCCCGGAACCCGGGATTTAAACCGGCGCGGGACCCGCAGGACCCGGGACCCGCGGCACCGGCGCGGGATCCGGGACCGGGACGCCAGGACCGACGCGGCACCCGCCACCTGGGACCAGCACGGGACCCGAGACCCCGGACCGGCGCGGGACTCGGGACCCGGTACCCGGGACCGGCGCGGAACCCGGGACCTGGCCGCCCGGGGCCGGTGCGGGACCCGGGACCCGCGACCCGGGACCAACCCGGGACCAGCGCGGCACCCGGAACCTGGACCCGGGAGCGGCGCGGGACCCGGGACTCAATTTGGCGCGGGACCGGGGATTCGTCGGAACCCGGGACTGGCGCGGGATCTGGGACCGGGACGCCAGGACTGGCGTGGCACCCGCCACCCGGGACCGGCGCGGGACCCGGAATTTGGTGGAACCGGCGCGGTGCCCGGGACCCGGGACCTGGAACCGACGCGGGACCCCCGAACCCGGGACTGGCGCGAGACCCGGCGCCTGCGACCCGGGACCGGCAGGGAACCCGGGACCTGGCACCGGCGCGGGATCCAGAACACGGGACCCGGGACCCGGGACCGGCGCGGGACCAGAGACCTGGGAGCGTCGCGAGACCTGGAACCTGCACATGGAACCGGCGCGGGACCTGCGACCGCGCACCGGCGCGGGACCCCGGACCCGGAACCAGCGCGGGACCCGGGACCTGGCACCCGAGACCGGCGCATTATGGCCCCGGGACCCGGGACCCGCGACCCGGGACCGGCGCTGGACCCGAGACCCGCGGGACCGGCGCGGGACCCGGGACCGGCAACCAGCACCCGGGATCGTCCCGGGACCCGACCGGCGCGAGACCCGGGACTCGCGACCCGGGACCGGAGCGGAACCCGGGACCCGGCCGGGACGATCGCCGGAGCC